GATGCTCTGTGTCTTTCGCTTTCCCTCACTGCTTCATAAACCTCCTAATCTCTACATATTTTTAGACAGACCTTAACCCTTTGTGTTGCTGTTACACAGCCTGATAGTGAAGTACCACGGGAAGGCATCTCATGCCGCTGCATACCCCTGGGAGGGAGTGAATGCCCTGGATGCTGCGGTGCTGGCCTATAACAACATCTCGGCTCTGAGACAGCAACTCAAACCAGAGTGGAGGCTTCATGGTGGGGAAAACACAGAAACTGTGACAGTGTCAGAAGTTAACTTTTAGACATGGAAGCAGTTTATAGAACAGCCTCACCTCAGGCTCCCTTTAAATGCACCTAGATGTTCACCCTCTTATCTTGCATCTTGTCTAAATTTTCTTCTCTACAGGCATCATCAAAGATGGAGGGGTGAAGCCCAACATTATCCCTGCCTACTCTGAGTTACACTTTTATCTACGCACGCCGCTGTTTAAGGATCTTTGTGACCTGAAGGCCAAAGCTGAGGCTTGCTTCAAGGCAGCTGCTGTGGCAACTGGCTGCCAAGTAATTAACTTGCTTAAAAATGTTGTCTTCCATGTGTTTCTCTCTGGGCTGGAGAAGCGTGTTGTCACTGATATTCAGATCAATAGTGAAGTACAGATGTAGGAAGAACCAGGGTATGTTACTATACTGTAGTGGAGCAATGCCATGTTGGAGTCGACTCTGCTGTTATATAGCGTTGCCCGTTTTTTCTTGTTAAATATTCCTGTAATTATGCTCCAAGTGCATTGCTGCTGTTAAATAATTCACTGTTATCTTGAGGCTGCTTGTCTCTGAAGTCTGCTTTGGCTTCAGGCAGGTTTAATTCACATTCGACAGAGAGACAGCACGCAAGGGGCTTCATATTGTTAATATATGACAGTAATGTCTTTTTTTTGTGAACTTTCATTGAGTGCTACTCTAAATCTTATAAATGAGGGCATACTTGTGTTTCCTTTAGGTGGAGATAACCTACCCAAGCCATGCTTGCCATGAGATTGTGCCTAATGCCACACTGGAAAACCTGTATGAAAGTAATGGAAAGGCGTTAGGCATTCAGTTTCCAGAGCATCCAGTCAAAGTCTCTGGTATGTAAAAGTAAAAAAAAAACAACAACATAGAAACAGATATCTTTCCTTGAGCTTTTAAAAGAAATGTATAAAACAACAAATGTAACAGCAGAAGTAGTTTTCTTTAACAGAGTGTCTTTTTGGTTGTTTATGGCATTGACACAATCATTAACACAGTGAATTTATGATTATCTGACAGCTTCCACAGATTTTGGCAACGTATCAGTTTTAGTCCCTGGTATCCATTCTTTCTTCTACATTGGCACCAAAGCGTTGAACCACACAGAGGAATACACCAAAGCAGCAGGTACAGTATGGCAACACATCTGCAGGGAGCATTGCACTATCAGAATGGGTTTTTTTTTTCAGCCATAATCTCATTACAGTTCATGTGGTTTGAATGTTTAGTTCCTTCATAGTCAATGCTTTATTTTCCTCCTCCACTCTCTTTCCTGTGCCAGGAGCTGAAGAGGCCCAGTTGTACACCCTGAGGACAGCCAAAGCCCTGGCTATGACAGCTGTGGACGTAGTGTGCTGCCCTGATCTCCTAAGGCAAGTGAGAGAGGACTTCAGCCAGGCCAAACTGAAACAGGAGAAATGAACTTGTACAGAATGTAATTTCCACTCCAAGTTATATGTCCTACCTGGCCTGATTGGGATTGGTTTGTATTTTGCATTGTTTACCAGTCATCTCATCAACTCATTTAGATTTCTGTGCATGTTTTTGGCAGCACAGTTCAAAACCCAGCAGAGGACTGATGTGGTGGAAAATCAAATTCTGGTCATCTTTTTTGATGCTTTATTCTTTTCATGTTTTTCTGCTGCAGCGATGCTTTTATTCAGGCTTACTGTAGGATGACAGTGCACAGAGTTCACACCCTATGGGACATTAGTTGGACAAAACACACATTAACACATTTATTATTACATGTAATTGATAAATATATTTATAATCTTTACATCATATATAAGCAGTAACACCATTAAGTGCTCCCATGTGACCAGTTAATGTTATTATACATTTCCAGTTTATATGATTTTGTATGAATGTTCAACAGCAATGAGACCTGTGCCAGAAAGAGAAGAGAACTGGTGGCAGTCCAGTGTCTAATAACTGTGAAAGCTTATCCCCCAGCACAGTTTAAATAAAGGAAATGGCACAAAGATCTGAGACCAAGACTTTGGTGTTCATGCCAGTGAAATGTTGCCAAGTGCTTCAACTGACATGAACTCTGTGGTCACAAAATTGCCTGTTTTTGTTAAAGTTGATTTTAATCGATAGGTTGTTTTTAACCACTGACATCACAGTGAGCCTTTAAAGCGTCACAACACCAAACAGAGGAGCTCCAGTTGTATAAGAAAGAAGAAATAGAACATTTTAAAAAATGTCAATACAATAATCAGTGTTTATTTCCTAAACATATATTTTTACGTGTGATTTCACTAGGGCTGGGGTTTTTTTTTTTTTTTTTTTTTTTTGCCTTTGTCAAATTATTGATATGAAATTGAAACAAATGTCACAGGAAAGTGTAACATGAATTATACGTATGTGCTGTAACTCTTTCCAATTTTTGTGCTAAGCTAACCAGCTGCTGGCTATAAGCTTATATTAAAACAAATATGAGAGTCGTATTAATCTTTTAATCTAACTCTCCAGCAGAAAGCAAATATGTGTACTTCTCAAAATGTCAAACTATTTCTTAAATATATTTTTCTACTGTTTTTTTGTCAAGTCTAGATCATACAATATATGTTGTAAAGGAGGGTGATTCTTTTCATATGTGGGAAATATATGGAAATATATGAAGAACTGAAACATAGTAAAGCTGCAGAGTTGCATAGGTCCATGTTTGTGCATCTCAGTGTGCAAGTCCCCAGGGAACAGCAATATCCAAACGCCTTTCCATCGACGACACTATAGGTACGGCATGAAACCACACATATTTGATGAAGTGACAGAACCAGCGACTGTCTTTATTTGTAAGTAGCTCATTTTTAAGTGGCTGGGTCAAGAAGGCAATGGCCACGAATCGATCTCATGAGCAGTTTCTTCATCTAAAAAGCATCAGTGCAGTGCTTGTGGTGTCTCATCATGGATGACTGTCATAGACGTTGCACTTGTGTATCCAGTGTTACGAGTAGATGGACCAGTAGATGATGTTAAAGAAGATGTATGTGCCAGGAAAGACGACCCTTGAGTACTTGTCTATGGCGTGGGTATCTATCCAAATGTTCACGTAGCCTCTGGATGGCTTTACCTGGTTAGCAATTTGCCGGTTGTTCAGTGTCACCTGGGCCAACATTTGCTCCTGGCGACTGCTGTTCTCCGGCATTCCGTAATTCCCTGTGGTGTCAACATCCATAGACCCATAGCCAGTGATCTGGGGGTCGATCATCATCTCATCTGGGTTGCCAATGCCACAAGTACACGGGAGCTAGAGAGGCAAAAAGACAACAAAAACTAATTTGACACAAATCTGCTTATGAGAAACACTACTTTCTGTAAAGCCATAAAGCTAACTAAAAAGCATATATTTTTCTGTGCACACAGAGTCTTTGAATAATTTTGGGATGAAACCTTTCTAGGAGGATGTTTGTGCAGGGAATGTTCCTCCGGGTGCGTAGGCAGTTTGGCTCCATATGCCACAGCATTTGGCAGATGAAGAATAGCACTATAGTACACAAGCTGGAGGCTCAGAAATAAATTGCAACAGCCCAGAGAACACCTTAAAGTGAGCCAAATTAGGACACACTTATGTTTATTGGAAATGCTAATAAATTAGTCATTCATGTATCTATCAGTTTAGAGATAGGTCAACATGTTAAGTATTTCAATATAAATTCAGGTCAGCCCTGTCTGTGTTGATACAGAGAGAGCTATTCATGCTTCTTTATCACCTTACATTGGCTGGCTCATTCCTTTCTTAGAAAATAGTTTGGATGGGATTTTATCCACAGTGGTAGGAAATTAATACCCATAAAGATTTTTAAAATTATATAAGTTCTAAGGTAAATTCTGGTTTCACTGAAGTATTTGTATCAAACTTAAACAATTTTACAGTAATGAGGTGAGCTGTCAACATTTAATAGTTAAGCCGTGCTTTCACCGGCAAGCAATAAGCAGTCGCAGAGAAATAACACTTACTCTCTCCCTCAGCTTCCTCTCCTTCCTCTCCTGTACGGTGGAGAGGTAGTTGACCGCCGCATACTCTATCACCGACAGGAAGACAAAGACAAAGCTGACCCAGAGGTAAATGTCCACTGCTTTGATGTAGGAGACCCGCGGCATGGAGGCGTTGACCCCGGTAATGATGGTGGACATGGTCAGCACTGTGGTGATGCCTGGAAGGGGCCACACAAACAGTTCAGACACATCAGTGTTTTTATTTTATCCCTAGGTTAGGTGGATAAAACCAAATGCTAAATAACTAAATAACTCAGCTATTTCAGCAACTAATGGATGGTTTGCCATAACATTTTGCACAGACATTCATGGTCTTTATAGGATGAATCCTACCTACTTTTCTTCTGACTTTTCCATTAACCACAAGGTCCCTCAACAACTATTTGATGAATTGCCATAAACTTTGTCATGCACCCGAGCAGGAATAATTATAGTTGAGGTGTTCCTAGATTTTTTTTACAGTATATACTGTCATGCCATCATCAAGACAAAAATACTGTGCAGCTCTGGTTTATGATCATATATTTGCAAAACTAAGGACATGTTGAAATAGCTGCTGTGTGTTTAGTGTTTTCTCACTAATTTTTGTTTTATTCTTGTTAAGTCATGGCTATATTTACCTCTTCAGGCCTTGTTAGTTATAGCTTTGTGCATTTTAAACCTTTATTACAGATGGTGGGAAGACCAAGAAATGACAGGAAACGAGATGAAACAAAAGTCTGACTGTCTGGCCTTACTTAAACTGGGGACACTGAGATTTGCGGTTAGTATTTATCTCTCACAGATATATGCAACTAATCACAGGGTATTGCAAATAGACTCTATATTAGTCACAAGCCAAGAAACTAAAAATAAAAAAACAGAAGGTGGCAGTGTATCAAGGTGGTCTCATAAAATGCCTTGTTTTATTGAACCAGCAGTTTTAAACCTAAAGATATTCATTTTACTTTTATTTAAAGCAAGGAAATTCAGCAGATAAGCCTTAATTTTTCAAACTAAATCATCCTTTAGTACCTAGTGGCACCCTGGCAGGTACGGCCCTGCGGTCAATCCAGAAAGACACCCAGGAGAGCATAACCATCAGAGTAGCAGGGAAGTAAGTCTGCAGCAGGAAGAAGAAGATGTGGCGTCTCAGGGTGAAATGGATGTATAAGCGATTGTACCAACCTAGGAAGAAGAAATATCAGCGTTACACACACATTGTCATATGTGAGCCGCCGATATACCAAACAGAAATTTGAAGCAGAGGTTCCCTGCTGTTCTGGCAGAGAAATATAGGACACAAAATCCTTTTAATGCTTCAGGTTGCTCTAGTACACTACAAAGTGATGTGACTTCGAAACGACTGCAGGGCTTTCACAGTGGCTTTCCAGCAGCGTACCAGTGGTCGGCAGTAATTTAAATCATTTCATGTCGCAGTGAGGATTAAATATTAATTCATTCTTGGTGTGATATTCAAGGCACACCAATTTCATGTAAGGGAAACTCAATCATTTAGTTGGAAAAGGCTTGCAAAGTAACATACGTGAGATTTACTGAAGCTGTGATTCCGTTGTGGTTTCACTTTTACATGCATGATGCACACATTTGAACCATTTGCATAATCATTGTACTTTGCTGCATGTAGGAGAAGTGACTGGGTTGTGGATTAAAAGTACCTGTACTACTGTAGAATGCCAGCTTGGTGGTGGTGTGAAATTTCTGGATGAGAAACTGGGACAGAGATATTCTGTCATCGATGTTCAAGGATTCGTTTCCTTTCTTCCAGTACAACATCAAGTCGTCATCTGTGTACGCATCTGGAAGGAAAATATGTAGACATATGTAGTCTTTTGTTTACCTTGTTAACATGAGCATTTGCTCCTATTTGCTATCAAATCTGGGCCACAGTTAATGCGCCATAGTGACATGCCATGCATTTTCATTAGTTAGTGTACTGGATGTGTTTCTATCTATCAATGCCGACACATGGATGGATGAATCAGGATGTGATTTGCTAACATATTTGTCCATATTTTTTGATAAACCACTCACAGCTTTCAATCTCCAGTGAGCAGGTTTGTGTGTCCAGAGGAAAGCGGCTGAGGTCCATGTTGCACATGGCAGTGACTGTGACTCTATAGT